TAGATGTTTGTGTGTAGGACCCACGGGTGTCGGCTTGAGTGAACTGAAGAAGAAACTGTTGATCTCTGACCCCCAGCACTTCAGTGTGACCATTCCACGTAAGTGTCCTGTAAAAGAGACATTGGGTATCAGTGTGACTACCTGTGTAAATAAAGGTTAAATCAAAAAAAAAAGGGAAAAAGTTCACTTCACTCTTCTGATTTAAGCCCGCCAAACTTTGGCTGAACAGTGTAGTTCATTTGTCTTTCTCTCTGCATATTTCTTTGTTCTTATCTCTACGTGTGCGTCTTATATGTGAACGTGTGTTTTATACTAGTTAATAGAATAGAAGTTAATTCGCTGACCATTAAATGTGGTGTTCCCAACAACCCATCCTTTTTCTCTTTGTTTCATCCCAAAGAAACCTTTAAACATTTGTGTGCCGAAACTAAAGTTTCTTTCTTTCTTCCGTTCTGTGCTTTATATTGAATTGAGGATGCAACATTAAAAGCAAGACAGAAATGAAATAAAATAAAATGTAATAAAAACGTGGCTGTATTATTCTCACTGTTCTCACTATTTGAAATATTTCTTTACATAGAGAGATTTTTTTAATTATTGAAAAAAAGAAACTTTTATAACCAAGTTTTATGACTTCTTGTCTTCCCCCAGCTAAAGTCTGACACTTGAAATGTCCCCGGTATTAAAATCCCATTGGCGTGGCCTTTTTTTTCCCCACACAGCCTGTTAATTGTTCTCAAATGTGACCTGTGCTGCTGTTGTTTAATAGAGCCCAGACAGTCTGATTCAGACCCGTATAGGAAACGTATGGCACAGGTCCTGGCTCTCATTGAGAGGAAGGAGAGTCGGAAAGTGTCTCGTCTCGCTCTTTTTGAATGTTTGATCGCTGCCAGTGGACATATGGATATGTTTAACACTTGCTGTTGTTTCGGGTTAAGCTTGAAAGTGTCGCCCCTTTTTGTTAATTTGAAAACCGGAGCTTTGGAGACCACCGGCTCTCTCTCTGTCTCTCTGCTTGTTGCACACAAGGAGCATTGCACTTTTCATTGCAATGACTCACAGGCATCACTCCCTCTCTTTCCATCTTCATCTTCTTTCACTCAGACACCAGTCGACCCAAGAAGAACCAGGAGACCG